TATATATATATATATATTGTGTATATATATATATATACATACACACACAATACACAAACACACACACACACACACACACACACACACACACACACATATATGTACAAAGGTAATCGTTTTTATATATCTACATGTACAGCTAGTAACAAATGCATCTGGGGAAAAAAGTATAATATATTAATTAAAAAGTGATAACATCTTACAATAGAATATAAAGTGAGAAATGACTAGTTGGCATCTCATACTAATATTTCCTGGGTAATCTTTGAGTAAATACAGTGTACAAGTTAGGGTGCATGATCAAGGAATCTCCCTCCTTACCCCCAAAGACGCGCAGTCCATACATCTCTTATATGCATTTGACATTTGTAACATAGCATCCCAACTAACTAAACGAATATCAGTATAAATCATGACAAAGCCTTACCCAGTAACGATGAGTGTCATATGAGAACACACGAAAATATAAATATTACTGGGCGTCCGCCAAGTGTGACGCTGCATCGGGGCTCGCGCTCCAATGCAGCAGTGGGGCCAGCACGCGGGCAGAGTCCGGGCCACCCCGCGCAGACCGATTTTGTAGGCCACCCCCGGAATCTTTTATTTTTGGCTTCAAAATATACCGGTGGTAATGGGTTAAGAGCAATTAAACACCTTGATAAACTACTTGTAATCTTTATAAGTTTCAAATTAGAAGGGTCTTATCAATCTATTCTAAATCACCTTAAGGCAGTGACACAACTGAAACATCGTATAAGGTCTAGAATTAGTTCCCAAATTTACAAACCTTAAGCAAAGGCTTAGAATCTACTTTGTTTTAACCTTTTTGACCCAGATGGCAAGAGACTATGCAATGTCTGTGGTGTCCAAGTATCAGATAGCACTGTATTATGACATGACCCACACTATCAGCTCTGAGAGCTCGTCTTTCTCCAGTCATCTTTTTGGCATCTCTATTAGATAGGGAAACCTTTACTCCCCTTATACTTTTTGTTTATAAAATACAACTAAAAGCTATTTGGTGCCTACAGTTGTGCTTGAAGTACTGACCAAGCTGGGCACAAATGGGAAACTGCCAATGCATGCCAACAACCTGCAATACTGGCCATTAGCCAATTTCTAAGACTGCAGTTAAAGGGTTAAAACATTTGTAGTTCATGAGGATGTCTTCATCGCAAATGTAGCATCAAGTTTGTGGCCAAGTCTCACTTCACTCTCTAGGTTCTTTGTATTTCAATGATAATCATCAGTCTCTTGCCTTACTATTATCAGAAATATAATACACATGCAAGAAATATGTCCACTGACATTACCATGAGAAAAAAAATTTACCACACAATAATGTACAATAATCATAGATGAAGCATCTTAACCCTTTGCCACCAGATGTTATGTATACCACGTTTCTATATCACAGCTGGCTGGACACTTTTGTTGGAATTTTTTGGGAAAAAAATGCACTGAAGTCACATCAATTCACCCATGTCTAAAGCCACAAAGCAGGCAGGTCTTTGTTGGTGCAACTATGGCACAAACTATGGCACACGTTGCAAATATGAAAACATGAGCAGGCATCATGTGACATTGCTTGAATACCTCGTTTCAATCTGCTTGTAGGCACACTTTATTTTATTTTTATTATTATTATTATTATCATTATTATGATTTTTTTTTTTTTTTTTTTTTTTTTTTTTTTTTTTTTATGACAATGCCAAGTAGCCATTTTTGGTGAGGCAAATTTTCCTCGCTTCCTTCCTACTTTCAGGAAGCTGATGTTTCACTTACCCTCCCTAAACCACAGAAGTTACTTGTCACCAGCTGTTTATTCAAAAACACAGATAGACAAACGCACACACAATCATACACACACACAATCATACACACAAAGTACTATTTTTCTCTAATTGTATTAATATATAAACATTTTTACACTTTCATGTCACTCACATATATTAGTACATTTGTAGAAGTATTTATATATCTTATTGTATGAAATAATATCTACTCCCATATGGTAATAATCTTAAGGGATAAACAGGAAAGACCATTTCCCATCTAATTTGAATTCCTCCTAAACGTCAGAGAGCAATACTAAAGTTGCAGAGGGTCATTCTCATTTTCCTTTAAATGTTACTTGATTCTTGTGTTGGTAAGTGGTAAGATATCACCTTTGTGCCGCTGTTGTGCCTTGCTAAATATCAAATTATCTTTTGGAGAAAAATTTTGTACTGGAATTGGATTCACACACACAATTCACACATACCACACCTAGGGTGTAGTTCACACTTGTCATTGCAGTAAAATGTGCTAATGCCATGAAAATCTAAGTATAAGTCAAGCTTATTAGTTAAGGGTCATTCATGTTTCTTCATAAATAAAATTGTCTTACACTGCACAAGTAATGAGAGTGCAATCTCTTTTTTTCTGCAGTTCTAGTTACTGAGGCTTAAACACTTGAGTCATTAATAAACAAACTCAGAACTTTTTTCTATTTAAGTGTCACTTCAGTATTTTTCATTTTGCCATCAATATATTCAAAATATGGAATCATTTTCACACAAACTTGACACCTTGAGACAAGATAACATCAAAATATAAAAGAAATAATACCATACAAGCTATGAAAATCAATACATCAGCAATGCTCTGGCATAGCTAAGGTTAGCTTAAAAATGTTGACCTTAATGTATTAAAGAATAACCATATTAGTTGGTATCAACAGGCAAAAAAGCATCAAGGCTCCCCCAAAATTATATATGTTCCTTGTTTTAAGGCTTTAAAACTTCAAAGATGAAAACAAAATTTTAATTACATATTCAATTGGCTTCCATTCTATGCTATATTAAAGTACATACTCAAAGACAGAAAGAGGACAGAGGCAAAACCAAGAGAGAGAGAGAGAGAAAGATAGAGAAAAAAAGGGAGGATTTCCAGGAGCTAAAGGCAAACCCCAGTCATCTTAAATTTTCATCGCAGAAATCTCAAATTCTCTACCTGGCATATACTGCACAAATACTATAGATGACAATCAAAGATGAGATACAGAAGGAGTGTTAATGCAGAATGCTGCTATGGACTTGTAACCGGTGTAGATTAAATAGAGACGAATAAAATAATAAGGGTTCATTGCACCAGTATCTGCTTTATCATAAGTTATACTTCTACTTTGAACAGATCAATGACTAATGAAAAAATAATAATAATAAATAAGAGGGTGTTCTTGCCACTGTTACACTAAACAAACTGGTTTCACGACACAAATGTTTGCCATGATACTGCGCTTAAGAAAAAAATTCAGTTAATCTTACCTATCAAAATGATAATGAACATTTCACCTGAACAGAAATAATTATGTATAAATATATCAAATTCAGTTTTTCCAACATCCAAACGAATCACAATCTATAAATATCTTCAAACTCGTTCTTCAGCTTCAAATATACAAAACATTCATAGCAGAGCACCACTACTTTCTTCCATCTCATTGGCGATTCCTTTCAAAATATGCAAAATCATCTATACCAAAACCCCTTTCCATTAATTTCATTTCATTTTATGATAAAGTTTATTTCTAGACATGTAAGGAATTTGTGATGTTCATGCAGTACACGACTAGGATATTTTCACATCTCAATAAATATAAATATAAAAAAAAACTCGGACACTACTGAAACTTTTATGCTTGTAACCACTGGCTCAAAGGTTACCAAGTCTTCAACACCTTGATTCATTAGCAGTTGTATTCACATAAAAATGGATTGTAATATGCTCAGCCTCATATAAACAAATTAAGATTCATTTATCAGTCAAAACTACCCTCTATTTTGCTAATCGACAACAAGGGCAAGGCACAACTTTATAACACTTTTCCAACCATTTTCTTACATTCTTTATAGGGAGAATTGACCCAATAATGTATACATCAATGCTCTCTGACACAAGTTCAGCTTTTATTCCCATTTCAACTCATGACTTGCCATTATTTGTTTTAATTCAGCACTTATTCCTTTTTGATGTAAAAATTGAAGGATCTCTTTCACTAATATTTCCTTCTCAAAGCATCACCTTCAGCAACAAAAGAGTTTCCAAAAGTAAAGGCTTGTGCCTAAGGGCCTTTCAACAAAATAATGAACAATGTTTTCAGTAGGAAGACCTACATACACATTTTCCAAATCCTGACATTTATAATGCTGGTCATGTTCCTAACAGTAGACTAGGAAAACAGTATGAACATGCGTACATTACCATAAAATTCCTCCATCACTAGAATTTTCCAGAGTAAATTATATTTCTAAATTTCATTCTTTGCTAGTTGATTTAGATGGTCCTCCCGCTTCGACTTCAAAGCTTCCCTATGAAAAGTGTTTATACAAGTTGCATACTCATACATATTCAAAATTATTCATATTGTCAGATGGCCAAACCAAGTTTCACAACAAATTTCTATGAACTGCATACTTGTTACTTTTAGCATAGAGGTCTTGCAAAATTATCAAACCACTCTTCGTAAGTTTTTCTAAAACGACAAATTTTCCCATTCAAAGGAAAAGTATCACAAGACAGCCTTGTGATATTAACTTTAATACACCATTTCCCCACCAATATATACATTCCACCTTGTTACAGGGTTAAACAATGGCAAGATTTTTCTAGGTATTTTTATCTTTAGTAAATGGGAGCAATTTTCAAGTTGAAATGGGAAAAAAGCTATGGTACTGGTCATAAAAAGTAATCATTCTTCCAAAAGACATGTAAAAAAAATAAATGATTTAAAAATCTTGTAAATAAATAAATAATTGTAAAAGCAATAGTCATACTAATGACTAAAGCAATGGGATGAAATGTATAAACAAGTCAAATATGTATGCTATACTCACCGGTGGAGGAGGCAACTCACTCTCACTGTTGCCTCTCTGGTAACTGCCACGGTCTGTCAAGTAGGGAAAGGAGTATGGTTATTTTCCGGTTACCCCAAAAAACTACTATGACAAAAAAAATGCAAAATGAATTTACTTTAGTTTTAAAGAATCAGTGCATAGAAGTCCCAGGACTCACTGTCACTCTGCCAAGGGTCTGGACGTCCATCCCATGCACTGTCTCCCCAATTCTGGCCAGTGCCACTACCAACACCTCCTCGACTACCTGCACCAGCTGAGCGTCCCCAGGAGTCGCTTCCTCCTCCACGCCAGCTGCTGCCTCCTTGCGTGCCGTAACTGTCACTGGTGCGTCGCCAGTTGCTACCTTCCATCCCTTGGTAGCCACCACTGCCAAAGCTGTCTTGGCTGTTTTCGCTCTTCATTAGATCATTTGCCCTTTCCTAGAAAAAAGGAAAAATATTCTTAAGTGGGTGATACCTCTGATTGTAATTTATGGCAAATCAGTGTTGCACTTAACCCTGTAGTGACGGGGCAAGATTTGTTTGTGACGTAATATTACACAACAGTAAACTTTGTAGCTGGGCCTAAGCTGTGAACAGCCGGCCCACATGTCACTGGCAGTTATACCATGATGGTTATAGCCATTGCCATCACCAAGGAGTCAATCAGATTTACACTATACAAATTAACACTTACTTGCATAAACTGTCTGTTCTCTTCCTGGCGCCTCCTCAGTTCCTCTTCCTGTTGACGGAACTTCATTGATAACTCCTCTTCCTGTCGCCGTTGACGCTCCTCCTCTTGACGTCTATGCTCTTCCCATTCACGCTGGCGTTGTTCAAAGTCTGTCTTAGTGCGCTGATTCATTTCCTCCCTTTGACGCAGCTCTAGAAATAAAATGATTAATTTAATATTCATACATCTATTAGAATTTTTTTTTTTTTTGGGGGGGGGGAGGGGGGGGGATCTTGCAATAAATATTGAACACACAAATAAATACATACAACTAAACATACATGTACAAATACACATATATGTATATATATATTCATACAAATACATACATACATATATTCATACAAATACATACATATATATATTCATAAAAATACATACATACATATATTCATATATATACATACATATATATATTCATATATATATACATACATAAATATATTCATATATATACATACATAAATATATTCATATATATACATACATACATATATTCATATACATACATATTTACATATATTCATATATATACATACATACAAATATTCATATACATACATACATGCATATATTCATACATACACATATTGATATATATTCATACATACACATATTGATATATATTCATACATACACATATTCATCTATATTCATACATACACATATTCATCTATATTCATACATACACATATTCATATATATTCATACATACACATATTCATATATATTCATACATACACATATTCATATATATACATACATACAAATATTCATATATATATATATATACATACATACATATATTCATATATATATACACACATACATATATTCATATACATACATGCATACGTATATTCATATATATACATACATACATATATCAAATATATACATACATACATATATTCATATATATACATACATACATATATTCATATATATATGTACATACATAAATTCATACATACATACATATATTCGTACATACATACATATATACATATATTCATACATACATACATATATACATATATTCATATATACACATACATACATACTTTCATATATATATATACATACATACACATTCATATACATACATACATACATACATACATATATTCATATATATACATACAAACATACATATATTCATATATATACATACATACATACATATATTCATGTATATATACATACATACATATATTCATATATATACATATACATACATATATTCATATATATACATACATACATACATATATTCATATATAAACATACATACATACATATATTCATATATATACATACATACATACATACATATATTCATATATATACATACATACATACATATATTCATATATATACATACATACATACATATATTCATATATATACATACATACATACATATATTCATATATACATACATACATACATATATTCATATATATACATACATACATACATATATTCATATATATACATACATACATACATATATTCATATATATACATACATACATATAAATAATCATATATATACATACATACATATATTCATATATATACATACATACATACATATATTCATATATATATACATACATACATACATATATTCATATATATACATGCATACATATATTCATATATATACATACATATATTCATATATATACATACATACATACATATATTCATATATGTACATACATACATACATTTCATATATATACATACATACATACATATATTCATATATATATACATACATACATACATATATTCATATATATATACATACATACATACATATATTCATATATATATACATACATACATATATTCATATATATACATATATACATACATATATTCATATATATACATACATACAAACATATATTCATATATATACATACATACATACATATATTCATATATAAATACATGCATACATACATATATTCATATACATATACATACATACATACATATACTCATATACATACATACATACATACATATATTCATATATATACATACATACATATATTCATATATATATACATACATACATATATTCATATATATACATACATATATTTATTATATATATATATATATATATATATATATATATATATATACATACATACATTCATATATATACATACATACATATATTGATATATATACATACATACATATATTGATATATATACATACATACATATATTCATATATATACATACATACATATATTCATATATATACATACATACATATATTCATATATATACATACATACATATATTCATATATATACATACATACATATATTCATATATATACATACATACATATATTCATATATATACATACATACATATATTCATATATATACATACATACATATATTCATATATATACATACATACATATATTCATATATATACATACATGCATATATTCATATATATACATACATACATATATACATATATATACATACATACATATATTCATATATACACATACATACATATATTCAGGTATATACATACATACATATATTCATATATATACATACATACATATATTCATATATATACATATACATATATTTATATATATACATATATACATATATTCATATATATACATATATTCATATATATACATATATACATATATTCATATATATACATACATACATACATATATTCATATATAAATGCATGCATACATACATATATTCATATATATATACATACATACATACATATATTAATATATATACATACATACATATATTCATATATATACATACATATATTCATATATATATATATATACATACATACATTCATATATATATATACATACATACATTCATATATATACATACATACATATATTCATATATATACATACATACATACATATATTCATATATATACATACATATATATATTCATATATATACATACATATATATATTCATATATATACATACATATATATATTCATATATATACATACATATATATATTCATATATATACATACATATATATATTCATATATATACATACATATATATATTCATATATATACATACATATATATATTCATATATATACATACATATATATATTCATATATATCATACATATAATAATTCATATATATATACATATATATATTCATATATATGCATACATACATATATTCATATATATCCATACATACATATATTCATATATATGCATACATACATATATTCATATATATATACATTCATATATACATATATATACATATATATACATATATATACATATATATATACATTCATATATATACATATATATATACATTCTTATATATACATATATATATACATTCTTATATATACATATATATATACATTCATATATATACATATATATATACATTCATATATATATATTTATATATATATATATATATATATATATATTCATATATATACATATATATATACATTCATATATATACATATATATATACATTCATATATATACATATATATATACATTCATATATATACATATATATATATATACATTCATATATATACATATATATATACTTTCATATATATACATATATATATACATTCATATATATACATATATATATACATTCATAAATATACATATATACATTCATATATATACATATATATATATTCATATATATACATTAATATATATACATATATATATACATTCATATATATAAATATATATATATATATATTCATATATATACATATATATATATATTATATAACTACATAAATTCATATATATCCATATATACATACATTCATATATATACAATATATATACATTCATATATATACATATATACATCTTTCATATATATACATATATACATACATTCATATATATACATATATACATACATTCATATATATACATACATAAACATTCATATATATATACAAACATTCATATATATACATATATACATATATTCAATATACATATAAACATACATTCATATATATACATATATACATACATTAAATATTACATATATTGATATATACTTATATATATATACATATATTCATATATATAAATATATACATATATTCATATACATATATACATATATTCATATATATATATACATATATTCATATATATATATATACATATATTCATATATATACATATATTCAAATATATACATATATTCATTTATTCAAATTTATACATATATTCAAATACATCCATATGTTCATATATTCATATACATACATATATTCATATATACATATATTCATATATATTCATATATACATATATTCATATATATACATATATTCATATATATACATATATACATATATTCATATATATACATATATACATATATTCATATATATATATATATATATATTCAAATATATACATATATTCATATATTTAAATTTATACATATATTCGAATACATCCATATGTTCATATATTCATATACATACATATATTCATATACATACATATATTCATATATATACATATATTCATATATATTCATATATATACACATATTCATATATATACACATATTCATATATATACACATATTCATATATATACACATATTCATATATATACATATATTCATATATATACACATATTCATATATATACACATATTCATATATATAAACATATTCATATATATACATATATTCATATATATACATATATTCATATATATACATATATTCATATATATACATATATTCATATATATATCCATATGTTCATATATTCATATACATACATATATTCATATATACATATATTCATATATATTCATATATACATATATTCATATATATACATATATTCATATATATACATATATACATATATTCATATATATTCATATATACATATATTCATATATATACATATATTCATATATATACATATATACATATATTCATATATATACATATATACATATATTCATATATATATTAAAACATATATACATATATTCATATATATACATATATACATATATTCATATATATACATATATACATA